CTGTCCCTTTTGTTTAATGGGAGTCCTTTGCATGTTCTTTGCTTACTTTTCAAACGGTTCAAAAGTGTGATATGGGGTAGGCAGTTATGCGACAATGGTGCATGCTCAGTATATCACGGTAGCTTAAATAAGAGACTTTGGAAGAGAACATCAGGAGAATCTCCTGTTTCATTCTTTCTGATCCAGGGTGCCAATTTTGAAACATACAATCTTTAAATAACTTTTAGCACAAGGAAGGAAAAAGGGGAGGAGGTATGTATTATGTCAGTTCGCTATACAATTCTAGTGATTTTACAACAGAACAGTACAGGACACCAAGCCAGTTGGAACCAGATCATTACATTTGTCAATGTGGCTTCTATAGTCGGTTACAAGTCAAGAAGGTAGGAGAAGCTCCTCCCACAAGAGTGATGCGCCCGTTTCAAATCTCTCCGCAGTCGAAAGAAGAGTTCACTGGAAACGCTCCTTGTTCCGCTTCAATGGATTCCCACTTGTCTCCGATCCCACTTTTTCAGAAAGCGACCTTTGTATTCATCGGAGAGGGAACCGAGCCCCTGAAAGCATCCTTTGTATCCATCAGGGGCGAAGCTAATCCCCGAAAGTCGTATTTGTTTCCGTCGGTGGGGGAGAACTCTAATCTCCCTCTCGTGCCTTCCACAATGCTAAGTCGAAGTCGAAAGATAAAGCAAATATGTACAGAAAGGCAAGACCCTCCTTGCGCGTTGGCCGCGACCTCACGGAAACGATGGGACAGTATTGGATGCGGAGTTGGCGGAGGGATATCTGATTCCCTTTGAGGGGCATTTGCCGCTACCTTCTTAACCTGTAACTGACTATAGGTACTTTACTAGCTTAATAGTTTGTAAAAGAGCTTAATGAATTGCGAAGGCTAAGCCTCGTAAGACTTCTGCAGACTGACTGCACTGAGCAATAAGACGAAGAATTGGGCTAGATTGTGTAACGTAGAAAGATAAACCGGGAAAAGAGCATGGGCAAAACTGGGGAGCTAAACCACGCAAGGCATTTCGTGCTTTGTTTCGTCTAAACTATTTTCTTTGTTGCCGCACTTTTTGTCATCCTTAGCAGGCAGTATGCACTAATTTCACTCACATTTCGGGTGGATTCCACCATAAAGCTAGACGTTTGTATTAGAAAACCAAGTGTATGTCTTATCAGAGTAATGGCACATAGAATTTGCACTCTTTTTATGAGGGATAATTCTTCTAAGCCAATTGTTTCATACTAAATTGCCAAAGATTCTGCCCCAGTTTTCAAAAACAGACTGGAAAATGCTTTCATTTTTTTAGTAACATTTGATCTGTTTATTTACAGGAAACACTGCCTATCTTGCTGTCATCAACCGGTTGGCTGAAATCAAGCCACCACACAGCTTCACGAGACTCCCAAGGGCACTGAGCACACGCATATTCTGGAAGGCTTCCGAATGGCGCCACTGGCTGCTGTACCACTCGCTTCCCTGCATGTACAGAGTCCTCCTGGACCAATACTGGCCGCACATAAAGAAGCTGGTGGAGGCCGTCCATGCACTTTTGAGGGACACCGTAACTCCAGCATCCATTGATGTTGCAGGTGAGTTCTTCCCCCTTCGGTTTCTTTGTGTCGTACTTCGGGCCAGCTTTAATAATGTCATATTGTGCTTTCAGAGAAACTCCTCTGAACCTTTCTGACCATGACTGGGAGGCTGTATGGAGCTGCAGCAATGACGTTCAGCCTGCACCAGTTACTCTACCTAGCGGAAGCAGTGCAGCAACTGGGGCCACTGTGGGGCCATTCTGCTTTTGAATTTGAAAGCGGTAACGGGCAGTTTGTGAAGCTGGTGAAAGGATCAAATGCTGTTCCGGAAAGGGTAGTGAAGTATCAGCGCAGTTGGGATCAAACTTTGGTGTCTTCGCTTCTAAGTGACAGCTTCAAAGTGATGTGCTGTGATATTCTGGGATACACTAAACACCAAAACTTCAAGTATGCATGCAAACGAAGTGTGCCTGCTGGGTTCCTCTTCAAAGGCATCCTTGAGCAAAGAGGAACAGAGTTGTCTTTCCGCTGGGTCTGGGGCCTCCTTTGATCAGGCTGCAGAGTACAAGTGCTTCGCATGGAAAGGGCAGACTTTTCACAGCCAAAACTATGCCAGGAGTAAAGAGACAGACTCCTAGGCGATTCAAATAAAGGATATGTGCAATTTCACCATTTTGAGAGTGTTGCCTTTGAAAGGTGAGGTAACACTTCTGTGCAGGGAAGTTGTCATCACTTGTGCAGGTCCTTTCCCGCAGCACATCAGGCTTTGTTTTCTTGTTCACGTGAACTTGCAGGCTGTTAAACCATAGCAGCTGAAGGCACCATGCCTTTTTCTCACTTTCAGGAAGCCCTCAGCAAGCTATGTCTGTGATCTGTCAAACCTTCTTGAGCGCAATTGATGTAATATACCCAGGTGTGCCAAAGTAAAGTGACTATTCCCTAGGAGTTGAAATATCCAAAACTACATCCTGTGATAATTTGTCCCTGTTTTACCTTTGTGTCAACAAGGGAAATCTATCGAGATTGTGCCTTTCACATCTTCAGACTTCTTGTTTCGCTCCTAAGGTATTGCTTCAGGTAACTCAACGTTCATAAGTGATTTTCTTTGTTTACAATTTGTTATACTTTGTGTGCTTCATTTGCTCTTCTGAGACTAGTCAGGCAAATTTGATTATCGACCCGTGGAAGATGGCCATTGTTTGAGTAAATCAATTCCATGTCTCAGCCTGCTAATGTGTCTTTCATTAACCTTTCTGACAAAAATGTGTGAAGCTTCTAGGGGTAGCAGTAGGGTAGGCTTGTTTTTAACTGCAAGCAGGCAAATCAGAAAATCACTTTTTTGTTATTATAATGCAAGTTGAAAAGACTGAAATAGACTTAGACCTTTCGTTACTCTGTCTACATTGCATAATCAGTGAATAGCTTCAAAAACCTTCTGTATTTGTGGACCACAAAATAGGCTTTTGTTGATAGCATTTCACATATGATCTGATTGATTTTGTTTTCATACTTCTGTGTTAATTTTGACTAGTTAATTGTTTTAGTAACTATAGGTTATGTATGAGGGATATAAGTTCTTGGCTCTCTTAATTACTGTACTGTCATTTGATGATTTGTCTCGTAACACCTACAAGTACTTGTAAAAATCTTAAACTAGCACAAATAAAACTGAACAGCAAGATAGTAAGTACTGATGCTTGCCTATTGAGTTTTCAAACACGAATATTAAATTGAGCGTGCACATTAGAATGTATAGCAATGTATTTCTGGGGCGGAGGTGCCCTTTGAGGTTATTACTTGAATTAAGCATTTGTGCAAGTTGGTTTAAATTTATGTAGTATCTAATGGCCTTTCGGTGTCTTGGGGGTTCTAGTAATACTTTTTTTCTGAGATCAATCATAGTATACAAATAAATCTAGAGCGGATGCAGAGGATGCTAACTGCTGTTAATGAATTGCAATAAGGTAGAAATGTTTAGCGACTTCATTATAAAAAACAATTACTTTTTTTTCATTTCAATGCTTCTAAAAATGCCTTCTGCACTTGATGGGCCAGCTGCATTCTTCGAGTTGGCATGAATCTGCCTAGCACATGCCTTTTTTAGCTCGTCTTAGCAAGACATAATAGCAGTAGGTGATGCCACTAAAAAACCTGTGTCGACATTTAGCTAAGACAGCTCTATATTAATTTCACTATCCACTAGCTGGGCTGAGCATTTTCAATTCTAGACATACTCTAAGTTTTGGTTGGCAGGAATCCCATTTGTTCTTCTATATTATTTCCAGTTTCCACAAACTGGTATATATGCTTTATAGTACAGGCAACTCTGCCACCAAATGTAATACCTATAACTTAAATTTCCATAGCTGCTTGCACTTTGTTGTGCCCAGGGACGCCGGGAGAGGGGGGGCAGGGGGGGCCAGAGCCCCCCCAAGTATTCTTATGGGGGGGGCTCAGCCCCCTTGCCCTCATAAGAATAGTTCGGGGATATAACGCCAGCCAGGCGCTCGTCACGAAGGCATCACGTGCGTCCATGTTAGGTGCAAGCCACGGAGCAGCAAGGCACAGTCTTGTCGCACGTAGAGATTTTAGACAAGAACAATTAGTTTCGGGAGCGCGCTTTTTTTTTTTATTCCAACGTTTGTCGTCCATCAGCACGGCGGCTACGAGGGTTTAGAGCAAGCTGGACCCGATCTGCCCGTGGCAAGGCCGGGGAGTGGCGCGCGGGGGCCAACTGGGGCTTAGTATGGGGGCCTCTAGAGCCCGGGGATTATAGTTTTGTTGGTGTTGCTGTTGTCGTAGCGTGGGGGATACTGCGACGAGACATGTGTGGCGCCAGATTGTCGCCTCGGACCGGACGCTTTCTGTCATATTTGACGAGCTTTGACGGTTGTTTTCGTTTAGGAAGGTCTCAAGATGTCCTTGCCGGCGACTGGTCCGGTCGAGAGCACGTGATGATCTTCAGGTTTGAAATTATTGGCTCTTCCTTCGAGAGCGAGGGAAAGTTAGAGTTGTGATGCGAAAAGCGAGAAATGAAATTAGCGGAGTTCGTCTTAGACTCGGAACCAGAGAGGTGGTCGTCCAAGTTGAATGCGTTTAGATAAACGTTGAAGTTTACGAGAAGCAGCGAGTCAGAGCATCATTCAACAACGTGCCCGCCACCAAGCTCCAAGATCATCGGGGCTGATCCTACCCTCCCAACGACATCGGGAGGGTCCAACCCGTCAGAGGCGTATGCAGTCAGCGTCAGTCAGTGTCTCTTCGACTCCAGCATTACATGCAATGTCTGGCCATCCAAAGAAGATCACCAGCTTCTTCCTACCAGCCCCAAAGCGTACATGCCTAGGAAGCGGAGATTCTCAAGGTAAGATATTCCGCAGTTCTTCTTAGCTCATCATGAGTTCCGTTTGTGTAAATGCGTCAATTCAATCACACTGCTTGTTTCCTCGCTTTCCTATCGCTACCAGATGCCTGTTCTGAAAGGCCTCTCGAGCAGTGTCATCGTGAAGTTCAAGGCACAGGCCGTGATGGTAAGTTTTTATAGAACACAATTTGTCGTTTAAAACTTGAATTATGAAAGTTATAAATGGCGTAACTTTTGCAGAAACCAGTCCAACACGTCCCGACATCACGAACGCCGGCGATGTACAGCAGAGGGCCGCGCTCCTCGTTCCACGCTGTCCCTGCCGTCCCCAGATTGCTCGGCGGGTGAGTAGTTTTCACTATTTCCAATCGTCTAAAAATTATACATTTATGACCAAAATAGTCTCGCCTACCTGCTATTCTGACGATACGATTTTGTTAGGCAGAGATTTAGAAGAAATTGCGAAAGCTCGATAGTTTTTGATAACGAATCGCTCGAAATACGAGAACAAGAAGCCTTTTCTAAAAGATTAATGTGACCATACGTATTTGACCTCATTTGTGACAACAGGAGCAACTAGCTTCGATGAAGCAAGCAATGTGCATTCGCTCGCCTTTACAAATCCAAAGAGCAGACCCAACGAGGGCGAGTCAGCGCTGTCCAACTGCCGGTCACTTTCAGCCGAAAACTACAGGTTCCCCAGAAACCAAGGCGGTAGATCGTGCCAACGTGATTGGTTTGTGAAATTTCCTTGGCTTTCTTACGAAAGCAAAAGCGACGTAGTCTTTTGTCACGAATGCCGTCAACGTTACGAAGAACAGGGAAATGCTAACGCTGAAAGTATGGAGCCAGCCTTTGTCAAGGCTGGGTTTAACAATTGGAAAAAAGCCATAGAAAAGTTTCGATCACATGAAAAGAGCCAGTTTCCCACCGACTCCGTGAGCCGACATTTGTCACGCCAGGGAGGCATTCCTGTTTTGCGTCTCCTATCGCAGCAGTGCAGTAAGCAGCAGGAAGAGGCCAGGGTGGTACTGCGTGTCATAGTGAGCTCATTACGTTACCTCTGCCGCACAGGCCAAGCTCTTCGAGGGCGAGGTAAAGGTGACGGAAATTTGCTCGATTTGCTCGAAGAGAGATCCGAGAATGTTCCGGCGCTTAAGACATGGCTGACTAAGAGGGACAAATGGATCAGCGGGGACGTGCAGAATGAACTTATAGAGATTATGGCCCATACTGTACAACGAGAGATCGTAAAGGACGTGAAGTCCAGTCCGTTCTACGGCATCATCGCTGAAGGCACTACCGACATAAATGGTGACGAGCAGTTCACCTTTTGTGTGCGGTGGGTGCTGAGCGAGACGCTTGAAGTTCGAGAAGAGTATCTAGGCATGTATAACGCGCCTGACAGCAGAGCCGACACGTTATACTCGGCCATCAAGGACATGATCTTGCGCCTCGGCCTTGACTTTCACTGCTTACGTGGCCACTGCTTTGATGGGGCGGCGAATATGTCAGGCCGTTTTTCAGGAGTGCAGAAAAGAATTGGGGACTCTGAGCCAAGGTCTCTATACGTACACTGCAGCAATCACTGCTTAGATCTGGTACTGCAGGAGGCTAGCAGGAGCTGTGACATAATTGGAGACGCTCTCAGCACTGTTAAAGGCGTTTCCAATGCGATCCTTGACTCCAAGAAGCGCAAAAGTGTTTATGCAGACGTAGTAATTGCTACAGGATGTGAGGCGGCTGTGGAGACCGGATCAAGGCCGAACAACTTGCTTCCGCTTTGTCCAACGCGATGGACCGTTAGAGTAAAGTCAATGCAAAGGTTCGTTGAGAAATACGCCAGAGTACAAGAGACACTCAAAGTGTTCTTGCAGACAGCAGATTCAGTGACCACCAGCAGCAAGGCAAATTTGAAGGGCTACGAAAGACTTTTGCAGAAATTTGAAACGCTGCTAGGTATCAACATTTCCGTAGCATTATTCGGGCCTTGTGAAGAACTCGCAAGGGCTCTTCAGAGCTCCACATATCGCGCCGCAGGTGCGAAAGAGGCAGCAGAGGCTCTCTGCGAGGCGATCTCCCGACTGCGCTCTGGAACCGCGTTTGACGAGTTGTGGGAGCACACGAGCACAACTGCAGCTCAACTAGGCCTGAAAGAGCCTCGTATCTCAAGGCCTTCAAAACCGCCTATGAGGTACGAGGCAACCGACAGGCCTGCTCAGCCAGTTGCACTTGACACTAAAGCCGCACTGCGCAAGGAGTATTTCACTGCTGCCGACCGAGTCATAAGCGAAACAAGGCAGCGCTTTCAGCAGCCTGGCATGGAGCAGCTCGTAAAACTAGAAGACATCTTAATCAGTGCCGCTGGGGGACTTCAGTTTACAGCAGATAAACTAGAGACGGCTTTGGGGGTGCATGCAGTCGATTTTGACCTTTGGTGACCCTTTCCAACCTTCAGGGCATCCATGCCATCAAGCTCCATCAAACTTCAACGGGGCTGGGTTCCACGAGGAGGGGTCAAAGCTCCCCAGGGCAAGACGGCCGTTGCTGAGGGCAAGCGTGTCAGCCAGCTGTACACCTGTGGCACTGCCACCGTCTCCACCACGTCGCCAACGCGCTGTGCGCATGACGCATTTCGGCCCATCTTGCGATCCTCCGAGCCTTTAAACCCACATTAGGAAGCAGGGCCCTCTTCACAAGCTTGTGTGCACCCGACTGAAGACACGGCATGAGGGTTATTCTTCCTTCCGAGTGATGGCTGCAGATGAAGAAATAGAGATACTTTTCGATCCCCTTCTCTGGCCAGAGGAAAGCCTTTTCAATGAGTTGACAGGTCAGCTGAATGAGAGCCACACATAGCAAGCGGTATTCGAAGCGCCTCTCTTCGATAATGCCGTAACAGATACGTAACCTAGAAATTTACTATCAGAATTATCCACGGTCTTCCCACAAAAGCTAACTTTTCTTCTAATGTAACCATAACTGATGTGTCTATTATTGTGCTAAACGAGACCTGGCCTTGTTCTAACATTTCTCTATCATATATCTTCCCACCTAAATTTACAGTACTTAGACGTGGTCGTGTATTCTCTACTAGGAAAAAGACGGGGGTGGAGTGCTGAGAGAAATTGATGCGTCCTTACAATGTGTTAGGCATCCGGATCTTGAGACATTGTTTGAGTCAGTGTGGATAGAGCTGCAATGTGCGAATGGCGAGCATATCCTCTTGGGCGCTTATTACTTGCCCTCTGACACGTCTCCACATGGTTTTCCCCAATGTCTACTGGGCATTGAGTGCACAACCAACGCCCTTGATAAATTCAAATTTATAGTTCTTGGAGATTTTAATGTCTGTACTGTACTAATGTCTGTACTAATGTGTTACTTGTTTGTTTTTTAAGTGTTCACTCCCTTGTGTAATGCCCCCTGGGCCTTCAAGGAATAATAAATGATGAAATGATGATGATATGCTGGAAAACAGCCTCAGTGTCCTCTAGAAATTACTGTATTATTCAGAAAGCTAATTTCTCGCTGAATTTCTGATCGTTGACATATTTAGAACAATACAACTGTATCTCAAACACCCAGGGCAACATGCTTGATCTATGTTTCGCAAATCTAGACTGTACAGATATAACAGAGGGTATGTCAGGCTTGGTTTCCCCCCCCCCCTCGACGGACATCATGCCCCATTGGAGATCAGCATACCTATCTGACATGGCATTAGATGTTATTCACGGAGACATCCTGAAGTGAATAGACACAATTTTTCCGTTGGAGGTTACATTAGTTTGTGCAATCATTTCTCCAATTAGACTGGTCCTCAATCACTCTGTGCTCTGACGTTGCCCAAAAGGTTCACGATTTCGCTTGCAACGTTCAAGAACGAATGAATCAATTCATCCCGTTACAGGGGGGGAACACTGACGGCCGCCGTAGAGGCAAGACATGTTTCTGATGAGCTCTGTGTTGGACACCCAAAGGTGCAGAAAAATCACATTCTCCACAAATTAGTGATTACCACCATATTCTATTAAGCGAAAGGCACACGAGGACACCAGTTTATCGCCGGTGAGTGCAATTGTGGTGAAATTAGGAAGACTTTCCCGAGCGGGAAGACTAAGCCTTCTGCTAGCGTTGTAGGCCTAGCTACAAATACGGCGATGAATCAGGCCCCGCCCGGTGGAACCGATGCGGGCTGCACGGCTATCGCGTATGCCTCGGAAGTCAGCTTGGATATAGATAAAGATAATTTCATCTACCAAAAAGATGCCAGTGCAGCAGATAACCAGGATTACCCATCGTCGGGATTGAAGAAAACAAGGCAACTCTGGATCAACGTAGTCTTGAAGGCACAGCGTCGACGAGCTCGGCAACAGCTAAAACTAACTCAAAAACAAGTCACGCTGCCACCTTCGCTTTCGTCGCCAAGGCAGCTGAGAAGAGCTAGGACCCGCAGACCTGCTTTCACGCCCATGCCCTTTCCCTTGGAAGAGTTTAAGCGAGTTTCGTGACCATGCAACGGACTCAACGTAGGCCGGCTCCAACCGTCCTCACTGCACTAGCCCAGCTTCAGGGCACCAACACAATGTGGCAACAAGCCAACAGGTGCCTGCAAATCAACCAGAGCCAAAACACTGCAATGGTGAGCACCCCATCTAAAGTTGCGAAACTATTACTTCACAAAACCCAAACCAAGATTGGCAAAGCAGAGCACACAGTGGAAGTCTACGGACTTGCGCCAGAGGATGCAGTAAGGAGTTTTACAAAAAGTCCAAGCCCAGATTTCGATTCAAGAAATCATGAAAAATATAGACCAAGATGAATTTGACCTGAAAGACACAAGGAGTGCACCAAAGCACACCCGGAAGAGAAGTAGTGAGCAGGAACATACTGCACAAACTGCCGAGTATCAGGCGAAATGACACAGGATGACACCTTTCTAGCCAAGAAGAATGCAAATGCGCGTCTCCAGAAGAGACCAAAGGATCCGACGACGCAAGAAAGGTTGCAACACAACCGCGCAACAACCAAGCGTGAGGAGGCCGAAACAAATGAAACAGATTCTCACCGCGTTAAAGATTTCCCTCCGCTAAGCAATTATCACACGGGGCACACCAGGTAAGCAGACGTACAAACAAGCCCTTAGAGCAAAAGGCGAAACAGCACGACCCCGAAATGGGAAAGCCGCATCCATGTCAAGCATCCAAGACGCTGCCAGTCAAGCCCAATGTGGCTTAGGCAGGTCTGACTTCAACCTCGCTTTGTTCATATGCATTAAATTATGATTATGTCCTCGTTTATGGCTTCATGAACAAAGACATTCAGCTGGCTCCGGGCCAAGCCCACCATAGCATTCTATCCAAAGCAACAAGCCCAAACGTCAGCTCGCAAAAAGTATAAGAGTCGATGAGACACGATTCATGGGGCAGCAATGTTGACCAGGCGGACGCAGAAACCAGGACCTTTAGACAATGCCGCAGCTTCATCTTCTCTTGAAACGCAATATCAAACAAAGAAATGGCTGCATCACTCACCTTGCAGACATCTATGTAGCCTCTTCCGTTGCAGTCTTACCTCATTCCTCATCTAGACTGCAGAGACAGCAGATGCCGTTCAGCAAACACGCTGCCGCTCGAATCAGGCCAAGTTCTGCGGGATGCACCAGACAAAATATGCTCGTGAGCTTGTATCGATAACACAATCACATTTCATATGCCAGAATATCCTACCTTAAAATGACAAGTGTTGCTAAAATGTAAATGAAGACACAGCCTACTGTACGTAAATTTTCTGAATGTTGCACATTTTGGCATACCTTATAATAATAATATTACTGCTTTATTTGAATCATGCCCCAGAACGACCACTAGGTCAGAGTGTGGTGGCACATAAAATGGTAGTACATGACTTAACACAATGTCCCCCACTTGTAAAAAAGAACAGACTAACATGCAATCAGGGATTAAAAAGATAAAAATTTAGCTCCCTTCTAAACACTGATATATCTGAAAAGATATCAACATGAGAGGACAGTTCATTACCACAAATCTGCATCCTTACCATCGGTGACAATTTCGATTGAATGGAGGGGTAAAAAATACTAAATTCTCTAACAACACGTGCCGGTATGTGAAATTTTAACGATGACACTAATTCACTATCTACACGACCGTGTACAACCTTATGTAAACATAGAACGTCGCGAGCTATTCTTCTATTTAACAAGTTCTGCAACAATAAATCTTCAAGAATATATTCATAGTCGTAGAAACATCTCCTTCCAAAGTACCTATCATAAACAATACGAATAAATCGTTTCTGCACTCTTTCAATTTGTGCCGCCTCAGATGAATTCAGCGAGTTCCACACAACACTGCAGAACTCGAGTCTAACCCTAACCAAGGAGTAAAACAAGCGCACCACGCACCAATGATTTGAAAAGTCCCGTGTAAGGCACGATATCCTTTCCATCACTCTAAGAGCAGAGGCAAACATTTGGCTAACTTGATATGAAAAAGAAAGGTTGCTGTCAAAGTACACTCCAAGGTCACGGACTTCAAGGACACGTTGGATAGTAGAATTACGAAGTAGATATGGATAAGAAATAAGTTCACGTTTTCTACACATGGTAAGTTGTTTTGTTTTATTATGGTTGATAAGTAAAAAGTTATCAAGACACCAGTCTGAAACACGTGACACACCATTCTGTAAAAGAGCGCAGTCATCCTCCGACTGTATTCTCATGAAGATCTTAATATCATCAGCGAATAAAAGCATCTGCGCGTTCTTTACGCACATTTCAATATCACTAATAAATACAAGAAACAGAAGCGGTCCCAAGTTTGACCCCTGCGGAACACCTGAACTGGGCACAAGAACATCTGACAAACAACTCGAGACACATACACGATTTTGACGTCACTCTAAAAGCGTCGAAGACACACCATATAGTGAGAGCTTATACAATAGCAATTTATGATTTACCTTGTCAAAGGCTTTAGATAAATCAAAATAAACAGTATCAACTTGTCCTCGCGTAACAATTATCGGTACTGTGTAATCCAGTAGAAAACAAAAGTTTGTTTCCACAGATCGACCCTTTACAAATCCATGCTGAACAGTGGCTAATTTTTGACTGAAGTAAAAAGAAACATGGGCATGTATAACAATCTCGAAAACCTTTGAAAACGCACATAACAAAGACACAGGGCGATAGTTCTCTACCTTAGACGTGTCACCGGACTTGTGTATAGGTACTACAACTGAATTTTTCCACAAAGACGGGAAGACCCCAGTTCTCAATGAAAGGTTAAAAACATGCTTTATTAAAGGGGCAAATAATTCAGCGCATCCCTTAACAATAAAACTAGGTACAGAGTCAGCCCCTACAGACTGCTTGGGCTTTACCCTTTGTATTGCATCCAGAATTTCTTGTGTG